AACAAAAGGACCCCTTAATAAATTTGGGAAAAATACTTCAAATGAATCGGATTCTAATGAAACGTCTGATAATATCATATCAGTAACATAGCTGTCATATCTGTATAGCAAAATCAGACTCCAGATTCAATATCAAATAACAGTTCAGTTCAAACACTGAATGAGAAAGGATTGTTATGGTGTTTCTTAACTCTTCTAAATACTTTTTGAAAGATATCATAGCTTCTAGATGATGAACCTAGTTTTAATATTCAATACATATTTCTTATTTGTAAAACAGAAGTTGATTTTATTGGATGTTTTAGAAGAAAATCATGATCGAATTTCACCATGAAGTAAGTTGTAACCACTAGTAAATCATATTAAACACTTAACTTCACTGTTACAAGCAACATTTTAATTAATTCACATATACGTACAAGTTGACTGTTTCATTTTTTAATGTTTTATTATTTTAAGGACTATTCTGTTTATTGAATTCCATAGGGTCTACTTAGTTAACTTTCTTGCATTTATGACATAGAAATAAATCTTTTTGTCGTTATCTTTGTTGAACTCTTAATCGAAAGCACGAATTATTGGAGCAATAGAAACCAAACTAAATTTTGATGGAGTTTTGTTCTCTGAGCTGGATGGTACCATCTACCTGAGTTACAAATCTTCTCCACCATCTCATCAAACTAAATATAAATGACATATCATTTATTTCATGTAAATTCAACCTATCATTATAATTATTACGGTTGTTTATATTAGAATAATTATTTTAGTGATAACAGCTTTCTAATTTTGAATAAATATAAATATTTAATCCAATATAATGCTAATTAATTATTTGCATATCGTCAGGACTGCATAAAAATGAGAAACTCTTTTAGTGTAAAGGTCATTCAGTCTCTGACAGATTTAGTTGCACGAAATTGGTTTTTATGATAAAGTTACAGCACTATGATGAATAATTAAAATGCAAAAGCATTTTTAGACAACTGTTACCCGACATTAGGACATAAAATGTTACATCCATGAATCGTTTGTGAACTGTATCTTGAATTGTGCAGTTGTGATACAAACACAAACTTCAGATATGTGCCTTGTTAGGATTATAGAATACCGTGAATTATTCGTTGATTTAATAATGCGTCAAATTTTCTGGTATGAACTGACGAGGAGATAGATTTTATTATGTTACTGAATCTTTGACAAGAACAAAACAAGGGTTCTGCACTCTTTAATTTTAAACTTATATTGAGTTATGGTGTTAATACACTACTGTCACATAACCGAACACGTAAGCACGCTTCATTAGATGCAGTAAATGTTAAGAGTTTATGGATATAAATCGGTGAACATTAATGGGCATTTGTTAATAATAACAGTTTTGCGGTTAACCAGATGTGTTGAAACACGTATGTGGTCATTTTCGGTTTGTATATTCCACTGTTAAGACCACCTGTAGGCAGATTATTTTAAGTACGTAATAAAATCTTGATTATAACATCGTCGAAAAATTGAACGTTGAAAAAGATTAGTACTCTTCAAAGGTCATCGTAAAAACTACGTAAAACTAGTTGATGCGCACTGCTGAGGAGTCCCATACTAGGACGAAACGGTCGTCTAGTGCTTCTAGATTTTTAATGACAGTCTAACATTGATGGATTCATGATCTCAAAAAAACACTCAATAATCTTCACAACCCGATACTGAAAAATAAGAATATGTCAAGGTTTAAAAGTAACTTCCACAGTGCACACATTTTATGTTCGAGCAAGAAAGATTTTCATTTTGTTTTAGAGATTAACATCTCGGTGAACAGTTGATTCTTATGATAAACTTCATTTCCGACCGCGCATCACTGGTGTTTTGTATGACACTGTTTACTGATTGTAATAATTGTATGTAATGAGGCAGAGTCTTGATGAAAGAATCAATAAGCATGAAATAAGAAACTCATTTGGAATGCATGATTCAGAAGAATGTTAACTACTAGTATAACAATAAAAGTTTAAAACTAACATTTATTTTATTATTGAAGACAGCCTGAAGAAGATATTATAGACCCATTCTTAAATTTACAGTCAGATACCTTATACGCTTCATTTATAATGAAAGTCATAGTTGTGATACTAAATGGCTCTAAATACACATGTGAATGGTCGGTTAACAACAAATCACAAACCCAGGTTATTAACAACCGATAATTTCTAAGTGTGCATGGATGACTCCCGCTCATGGGATTAAACTTGTCTCTATCGTATTTGAGTTTTGTAAAGAACTTATGCATGTCGTAAATTCACGTCATGTATGAACTACGGGATAATTTACAGAAATATTGGTTTGGACGCCATTAGACAAGGAAAGAGAAAGCAATAATTAGACATAATGTTTGAATGAGAAAAGAGGTTCATCCTGATTACTGACTCGTGAGAATTCCTCAGGCCGATCTAGACTTGGTATCTTCTTTTTCCCATCTTGTTTAACAGGCCAACATAAAAAGTTTACTTAGTGACCTTGAGTTTAAAGTCATGGGCAGATTCAAATTGGTCGAAGCATTTTTAGAAGCATGGCATATCATAAATAACAAGACACCCCAAAGTCACGTGTAAAAGTTGTCCCGTCACAAGATAGTTTAATTCAGGTCAAGGTCACTTTTAAACCAATCATATCGAAATTTCGATGCGTGTCTGGGTTAAGCAATCAAACAGAACAAGGTTGTATCGTAAATATGATGAGAATTCAAAATCTTTCGAGATTTCGATTGGTGGGTTTCACGTATTTTATGAGTGACATTTTCATATTCTATGGTTTTGCCGGCTACCCATGTCACATGACTGGTTATCGATTTTGAATTTTAACATTTCTTGTTTTATGAATTTGGCTAATGTATAGATAGTTTAAGTAAAATTTAACGGTAGAACAAGAAAGAACATGAGACGTTTGGTATGATGAACAATGATTATTATACGACTATGGTCTTGGGAATACTCCTCGTCAAGGCTTTTCCAGGGCTCCATGCTACTTCATATCTCTAATTTATGCACGTGATAAAAATGATAGCTGGAATGCTTCTTGGAATTTCCATAATATACTTAGCTTCTTTTCAGTGGGATATTTTTTTTCTGATCTGTATGATCAGTTCAAAATAGTTAGATATCTGAGATTTTTTAAGTAAACTAATTGATAGTTTGAGGTTTATCTTGTGCCTATTTTAGAATCGGGATAAAATTCCACGAATCTAATTCTAAGTATTTCAAATTCATCAACAACGGAATATAAGTAGCAGTATCGACTGGTGTCGATTGGTTTCACTGCTAATTTATTCACTTCATAGTCCATTGTTGATAGTATCAAACTAAGTTTTCTGCATTGTTTCGTTGTAAACTTATAATTTATTTGCCATTATACGTGATCTTTAGGAAGGTAGGAATATGGACATGAGTTTCTTCCAAATGTTATTTCTGAGGGTTTGTTTAATACGTGGACCGTTTTCGTCAACAACCCATATTTTTCAATTCAAAATGTTGAGTGACTGTTTTTTTCTATGTTCGGAAATCTGTATAGGTTTATTTTCTAACATTAAACACTATTCGTCCTAAATATATGAATGGTATTTAATTTTATACCAAACGAAGTCCCAGAAAATATATACCACTGAGGAGTATATGACAGCACAGAATAACCTTCGTTTCTTAACTGAGATCTTTTTATTATCGAAAATCAAATCCAAATAACTTTGTTTATTAATTCTCTAAATTGCTATCTATTTACACTTACGGTCTTCATCACTGGTGCAAATTAACCTAAACAGTGTCAAATTCATACGAATTAGTTTATCTACATTTATGATAGCGATGAAAAGAAATGCTTGACTGCTGTTTGTTGTGAATTATGATATTTTTAAACACTTATTACAACTTAATATCTCTCATCGAAATTATATATTATTTACTAACGTTATTTTATGAGGAGTCTACAATCTATCTCTCCTCATAGGAAACTAAAACTTAGGTGATAATACTGTAGTATTCGACATACTTTTTTCTTTAGTTGTTGGAATGAGACCGGGTTGTATTAAGATACTCGTAAAATGTGTTAAAGATAGTCTACAATACTTTATTGGGAATATATATATCTTTCGGTGAAGAAGGTTGTCAAAATAGAAATAATTGAAAATCCTTTGGAATTAAAGATAAAAATTAATTAATCGCAACAGTAAATTTCTTTTGCTACGAATTTCTCAGAATTATGAATAAATTATACATCGTAGATATATTTGTTGCAATATATATTGTAGTTTGTGTATAGAACTTCTCATTGTAACCATGTAACTAGATTATTACTACTGTTTCCCTGTCTGACATCTAATTATTTAAATAAAAGTGGAAAGTCTATTTACATCTCTATTTTAGTTATATACAGAAATCTTAAAACGAAAAGTATTTTGGCAAAAAGTTATTAAGAAAAAAATAGGTTCGGATTATATTTCAGTAGAAATGAAAATTGATAGGAAAAGTTTTGTTAAAATATACACCATGGACTAAATAGTAATCCCGAAAGTTATGCTGTTGTAGTTGGAATAAAGTTTGTAATTAGTAAAATCAGATGATCATGACATTTATCTTTGAAGATATATTACTAATAATTCTTATTGTTCAACCAACTATTCTAGGAAATTGATTGTGAACTAGAAAGCTAAACACAGATTGGTATACTGGATTACTTCAAACGACCGTTGGATCATAACGAACGTCTCTTAAGTAAAACAGACCAACGATTCAGTGGTAATGTGAGCTTAAATAAGATAGAGATGCATACCAAGTTAAACAGAATGTATGCATACATTGATGAGATACTGCGTATGCAAGACAACAATCATTTAGTATCTCTGGTTCAGCTTCTAATAATTCTTCAACTAAGTTCAATTCACTATACATCCTTTAACTAGTTCGTCTTTACGTTACATTGATGGATACACATATAATGATGCTAAGAAACTAGTTCCATTATTTGTCTACCCAATTTTTCCAACTTAGCCATACACGTGGACCAAATATATCACTGTTGTATTCTTCATTAAAACGATCACTAGAATAGTTTGGTCCCTGTGAATGATTTACATGACGATATAATCCATCCAATAAATTTAGATAATTTCTTAAAATTATTTTATTTCTTGATTTAGATTTCGGATAAATCATAAAAGAGTTTAAATGTTTTGACTGTTCATTACGATTGAAAAGATTTGATTTGCCATCAAATAATGAATTTCCAGAATAATATGGATGAAACTGTTTATCAGCTTCAATGTCACATGAATTTAAAGAATTTGGTTGTATATGAGTAAATGTGTTTTGTTGAATGGGACTCATATGTTTGATTTGATCTTGTGATTCTGCTTTGATTTCTGATGATAAACTTAAATCACATGAATCAGAATACGTGAACTGTGATCTTTGTACATTAGAAGCTTTAATTGAAGAACATGGTGAAGAGGATCTTGGTACATAATTCTTTGATTCACTGACTAAATTGTTTGAATGAAAATAATCCATATGATTTCCTATAAAGGTTGTAAATGTATTAAGAGAATAATGGATTAGGTTTATAACTTCTCAATCAAAGAATAAAATAATAATCTGCTCAGTTTAAACATTCGTCTTCTATAAAGTCTTTTTTATCTCACATCTCTGGATATAATTTCGTATGTTCTAGAAAAAAGTTTGACCATCAAAAAAACAGACTCATAGAGTTAACTAAAATTGTTTACTTCATACATTTCATATATATATTTGGGCTTTTTTTGGTAGTAG